TTCCCAAAATTAGGTGTATTTTTTTGGTGGTCCCCATAAGAAGGACTATAATATTTTGGGGTCTATATTGGGGTCACCCTATTTAGGGAGACTACCGTATCGGGAGGTAAATTCAAGTCTCTTCCTGGGAGCAACCCTGAGATCCGTGCTTTGTCTCTGTGCTCAGAGACGCTTCATGGGTATGGCATAGCATTTGCAGAAGGCGTTTGTCAAGACGCGCCTGTCCTGGCACAGCTAGCATTTGAGGCATTAATCAGGCTGCAGGGGCTTGGATCCTGTAGAAAGAAATGCTTTCAAGTTCTCCCTAACCCCTACAGCCCAACCCTTAAACCCTAAACCCTAAAGTCAGCTCAAGGCTGACGAGTAGTTGCGTGTTTCTCAGGCCCCGAAAGTGTGACCACGTCGTCTAACATGGGCGAGGAAGGCCAGTCCCAGGAGGAGCAATCGCGGGTGTAGGGTTTGGGGTTTGGGGTTTAGGGTTTGGGGTTTAGGGAGGTGACGGTCTCATAGGGATACATAGGGCTTAGGCTAACTACGCACGTGGTAGTTTTTCAGGGGAGTTGCAAACTGCTTGGGATAGTAGGCTGGTATCTGGGTTGGGCTGGGCGCTCTACGTTGCACCCCTACTGTAGCAATGGCGACCACAAGGGGCAATAGCAGGTATGTTAAAGCCTCATGAATTCCATATTTGGGGGCTTTCACTGTAGGGCGGATTGACCTAAAGCAAGATTTTTTTGTACTCTTTGAGCACAACTGACCGCAGGACTCGGCCGAGCCTGTGGAGACAGGCTGAGATTTGAAGATGGTAGGGGGATGATATAGGGGCTATATGGGGGTTACATGGGGATTATATTGGGGAAATAGAGGGATCATGTTGTGAAGTCCGCTGACAGTTGCGCGGTGGTGTAGAGGTAAAAACCTTGAAAAAGAACCCTAAGCCCTAAACCCTAAAATGAACAGGTGATATGGCGTCAGTTCCAACGAGCGACACGCTGGCACGAGCCCCAGACTGCCAATGTTTTGACCATGCTCATGGAGATGTGAAAATGTTCAAATGACAAAATCAGAATAGTAGTAATACTTAGTAATACCGGTAATAAGGAGAAGAATCGTCGTAATAGTAATACCAGCGTTACTAGCAGCAACAGTGATAAAGATGAAAGATAGTTATCCGAGGTGGGAGCCAGCGAAGATGCTTGTCCACCTTGGTCTGGGAGGTACAAACAAGCTCCCGATGCCTTTGCGAGTCTAGTGACAGATGAGCCAAGTACCAAGCAGCTTGAGCCACGAGAGCCCATACCCAAGCACAAGGTCATTGTCTTGCCTCCTAGCCGCAGGGCTCCGCTGCGCAGTCCTTCTCCAGAGAACAACTCTCCTTTGGTGCGCCTTACCAAGTTGCGATCACCGGAGATCTCCCCACGTCTCCTGCGTCCAACGCCGCTGTTCGCGCAAACTGCGCCAGCCCGTCGAAGTTTAGGTGGCAGAAATCAAGGCTGCCTGACAGAGCTGGGTATCCTACACCCACGCACGGGCAGCCCTGTGCGTTATGAAGCCCCAGGTGTGGCTTATCCAAGGACAAGCTCGCGCCTGGGAAGCGACATAAGAAACGATAGGTTCGGAGGTCGCACCCCTGTGACTCCCACCGTGCCTAGCTGTCCCAACCGAATCCCAAGCTCATGGGTCAGCAAGACCTCGATGCCAGTGGCACCAATCACTGGGCAAGGCAGAGCATCACGGCACAGCGTGGGCTCCTGTACAGTCGGGTCACGACCTCGCTCAGCCACACCTCCCTTCGGCCGCTCTGCCAGCCAGGGCCGGCGAGGCGCCGAGAATCGGCAACCTTTGAACAGATGTCCCTCCAAGACAGGGGCGAAGAAGGTGCGAGGCCGAGGGCATTCCCCAGAGCCCGCAGAACCTACAGAGCTCCTGGAACCTTTGGGCGACCCGCCGAAGGAGTTTGCCACTGATGAGGCCGGGCGAACCGAGCTGATGCATGCAGCCCGCGATGGTGACCTGGCACGTGCAGTTGCATTGCTCCACTTTGGCATGCCTGTGGATGCCGCAGACTCCTGCAAATGTACAGCCCTCATGTATGCCGCTACATATGGCCATGTGGCAATGACGAGATGCCTCGTTGAGCATGCCGCCAATGTCAACGCGCTCAGCCATGACAGGTGGACGCCGCTGATCGCTGCCGTGTACAATGGCCACTTCTCAGTTGCAAAATACTTGCTCTCAAAAGCAGCAATTGTGGAATGCGCAGATGATCGGGGTTGGACTGCGTTAATGCATGTGGCCTTCAACGGCAAGGTGGACATTCTGCAGTGCCTCCTCGAGCACCGAGCAGACATCACGCGAAAGGACAAAGAAGGAAGGACAGCACTAGTCTATGCAGCTTTCAGCGGCCATCTTGAGAGTGTGAAGCTCTTACTGGCAGCCTCCAATCAAGGAAACAAGTGCCTGGATGATGGCCCATACTCCATGGCGCTGCTGTTCGCCGCCGACAAGGGACACATGGAAGTTGTTCGGACCCTCCTGGATGCCACATTCATCTCCGTGCGAGCGAGGGCATCTGCACTGGAACTTGCCAACTTCCATGGCCATCACGAGGTGGTCCGGCGCTCAGACTTCCGGCCAAACAAAGTACTTGTGCAGAAAAATCATGCCAACTGTGCAAGGCTAAAGCCGTGACGAATTGTTGGTTCCATTATTGCTGTATAATTCCGTGTAACGCCTATATAATCCCTGATAATCCGTACATAGCCTTTATATAACCCCTATATAATCTCCGTATAGTCCCTACATACCCTTCATATAATCCCTACATAACCCAATATGTAGTGGAAAAAACAGGCCAAGCTCCTTTTGCAGAGCGCGCATGCCTTCGGAGCAATTCCGGGAGAGCCTGGGCTCATGTTACCGGGTTTAGGGTTTAGGGTTTAGGGTTTAGGGTGGGGATTATATAAAAAGGTTATAGAGGGGGATGTATAGAGGTTATATGGGGATTATGTAGGATTTAGGGTTGATATTGCACAAAGGCATATAAAGTAAAGGATATATTAGGGTTTGGGGTATAGCGTTTACGGTCTCGGCTTGATATTACATAAAGGTTATTTATGAGTTAAAATGGGGAACATATAGTAGTCATATGGGGATTGTATATGGTTATAGTTTCTGTGGGGATTGCAAAAATTATGTAGGGGTCATACGAGAATTATATGAGGCTTGTATGAGGTTGGTAAAAGTAGAAAAGAAGATGGACACGACTATTTAGGGTGTAGGGATATATTCGAAAGGTCTCAATTCGGTATGGTAGTTTCCATAAATAAGAGGGGGCCCCTAACTTTGAGAAACCTCAACCCCTATCAACTGCCAAATAATCCGAGTTTCCATATCATGTTGTATTGTCTTTTCTATTTGATTCTCCGTTTTGGGGGTTGTGTCACGAAACCTACATGCCAAAGAGTAGTTTCCATTGTCTTTTCCGCTAAACTGTGTATCGTTCTCATATGCCCTCTATGTAAGTTTTGTATAGTCCCCATGTAATACTCTGATCCATACCCTGGACAGTGAACCCCTAAACCCTAAACCCCTAAACCCCAAACCTAAATTCGGGCCCCCGCCCAAGTCCTGGATGTTGAGCTCAGGCCTCAAGCGCGGTCAAAGCCGAGCTCTCCGCCTGATCTCCAATGGAGTGGTAGCACGTGACGCATCGATTCCAATGTCGGGGTTTCCCAGGAAATGGAAACTAGTGATGGGTGTTTAGGCATTGACCTTGGGTTATGTGGCTTATATAGGAACAATGGAAGGGAAAATGGAAACCACAATTTGGGGTTTAAGTTTTAGGGTTTATATATGTCTTTTTACCCTATCAAACGAGAAAGTGCAAAAGCAAATGAAAATTGGGAGCATATAGTAGTTTATAGAGGATTGAGGGGTTCCCAAAATTAGAGGTCCCTTTTGGAGTTCCACAAAGATTATAGTGCATTGGGGTCTGTGCTGGTGCCCCCCTCTATTTGTGGAAACTACCATGCGGCATAAGCATGTGGTACAGCAGCATCCCACAAGGCAAGCTACCAACTGCAGGGTTAGGGTGTCGGGTTTATGTGCAGCAGAACAGGAACAGCAGAAACGACGACACAGAGGTGTCATGTTAGTGCTCGAAGCATCTGCAGAAGATGCGCTCATAGGTCAAGTCTGCAGGGGTTGACCAGGCTGGGCTGGAGATGAAAAAGGCATCAGTCGATTGTTGAGATGGACGCTTTGCTGGAGGGCGGTGGGTGCAGAGGAGCAGGGTTAGCATTGGTAGCCTTGCCGGGCAGATCACTTCAAACGGGGTCAGCGGAGGTAACATGGTCGGGATGATCCAGCGATTGAGAGGCGGAGCCTGGATTAGAGTTGATGCATTTTACGAGAAGTCCTGCTTCCTCATCGTCCGTAGCATATGCACCATTTGCCAGTTGCTATCTGTCATCTCAAATCAGCTGTCGCTGTCTTCGACCGTTGCCCTCATTTTTGTTCTCGTGCGCTTGGCTGTTGGGGAAAATTTCGAGGATCTAAGAAGCGACCCCACAAATCCCAAACTCGGGGTTCGACACTCCAGAATTGGATTGGCGACTGCTCCCACGGATCTCTTTCCCCTTAACGGAATCGGCCCTTGATTCGCATATCTTATAAGATCTTATAAGTACTTGAAAAAGGCTAGGGAATTTGGTTCCATTTGTCTATCCTAAATCATTATGACCCTCATAAAATGAGAGATATCTTTCTTTATCTAGATTAGGATGTTATTTCTTAAACTAGGGTCATCTTATAAGAATAACGCCAATGATTTTTATCAATAAGTATCTTCATATTCTTTAATTTCGATATCATTATTTCGGAGAAACGATTTTATGATGATGATTTGTGATTTCAATAAGAAAGATATATATATATGTATATACATATCATTATTCGGCTCTTATATAATACCATATTAATACAAATAAGAAAGCTAAGTTCGCAATATGCGTTATATATGTAATATGCTGCCGAGCGGTCGACGATAGAATCGAGAGAGTATCTTGATTTCATCGATAAATATTTTTCTCATTTTTCTCATATATAAATATCTCGGATATTTTGAGATTTATATTTTATTCAAATCTTTACTCATAGATTGATTATTAGATGATAGATTGGTTATTTCTTTGATTAGAATAGAGGATTATTTATTTGATATATATTAATTTCTTTTAATTGAATTGATTTTTAAATTCTTTATTAATAACGACTTATCAAATATATGAAATATGTCATTTCATCGAATTAATATTGAATTTCTCTAAAATGATGATAATATTTTCGTTATATCGTATAGAATTTGATGATTCTGGAGATCTAATAATTTTATATAGAAATTATTTAGATAAGAATTTTTATGAATTAAAGTTATGGAGATATTAGATATTTAGATCTATCTTTTTCTATTGAAGATTTGAATAAAAAAGGGATTCGAATGATAGCTCCGGATGATAGGTCGTTTTCTTTTTTGGATTCTATTTGATGGGCGAATAATAAAGATATTGTTTATTAATTTCTTTGAATTTCGTATTATTTTTATTTCTATTTCAAGATATTTAAGAATTTTTATTGAATAATAGATATGAGAAAATTAGAAAGATGAAAATCAAAATGAAATTCATATTTTGAGCTCGAGAGTATCTGGGATATATGAAGGAAATTGGAAAGATTCAAATAATATTGAAAAGTAAATATATTGAGATATTTAATTTGAAATTCTCGATATATATATAGAAAATTGGGAAGATTTTCAATATATTAAATAGAAATAAATATGATAAATATTAGAAAGATGATAAAAATAAATATTGAAAAAAATATGAATTATATATTTTGAATTTCTCGGAGGGGAGGGGAGGGGGGGGGCGCGGGCATAAAGAAAATCGAAAAGGTTATTGCTAAAATATTGAAAAATAAATAAAAATGATATGAATAATTTTGAAGCATCTTGGATATATGAAGAAAATTGGAAAGAGCAGATAAATTGAGATAGATATTTTGAATTTCTCGAAATGCATGAAGAAAATTAAAAATATTGGTAATGTTGAAGACTAAAATTTTCAAGATATATATTTTGAATTTCTCGAAGGGAATGATTTTTTTTAAAAAAATCAACGTAGTGAAGATTAAAAAATTTGAGATGCATATTTATGAAGAAAATTGAAATAGTGAAGAGCAAAATTTTGAGATTTATATTTTGAGTTTCTCGAGTTATATGAAGAAAATTGGAAATATTATCAAAATTGAGAAGATCAAAAGCTTTTGAGATGGGGATTTTGAGCTTCTCGGGTCGCATGAAAAAAAAACAAAAAATTATTAAAATGATATAGATCAAAAATTTTGAGATATATATTCTGAGTTTTTGGAGATACATGAAGAATATCGGAAAGGTTATCAAAATATTGAATAGCAAATAAATTGAGATTTATTCGCTGAACTTCTCGAGGCATATAAAGAAAATTGGAAGAATTATAAATTGAAAAATAAAAATTTGGAGGCATATATTTTGAGTTTCTCGAGGTGCAGGAAGAAAATTTTCTAAAATTATCAAAATATTAAAGAGCAAAAATTTTGAGATACGTCTTTTGAATTTCTCGAGATATATGAAGAAAAAAATAAAAATTATCCCAATTTTTTTATTAGCAAAAGATTTGAAATATTTATTTTGTATTTATCAGGATGTATGAACAAAATTGGAAAGACTATCAAAATACGGAAGATCAATTATGTATCAATAGATAGTTTGATCTTATCGGGATTTTCTCGTATTGTATGTAGAAAAATTGAAAGATTATCAAAGTATTGAAGAGCATCAAGCTGAGATATTTTTGAGTTTCTCAGGGACTTCTCGGGGTATATGAAGGAAATTCTAAAAAATCATCAAAATTATGAAGAGCAAAAAATTCGAAATGATTATTTTGAATTTCTCGAGAAGCATGAAAAAAATTGGAGGATTATTAAAATATTGAAAAGCAAAAAATGAGAGATATATATTTTGAGTTTCTCGGATTGAATGAAGAAAATTGAAAAGATAACCAAAATAGTGAAGAGCCAAAATTTTGAGATTGATATTTTGAGCTTCTCGACGTGCATGAAGAAAATTATAAAAAATATCAAAAATTGAAGAACAAAAATTTTGAGATATATATTTTGAGTTTCTCGAGGAGCATGAAGAAAATTGAAAAAATTATCAAAATGATGAAGAGCGAATGCTTGGAAATATTTTCTTTGAGGATCTCGGAGATTTCTCGAGGGACATCAAATAAATTAGAAAGGTTATCAAAGCGTTGAAGATCAAAAATTTTGAGATATAGATTTTGATTTTCTCGAGGTATATGAAGAAAATTGCCAAAAAATATCAGTATGCTGAAGAGCCAAAAGTTTTGAGATGGATATTTTGAGCTTCTCGAAGCATATCAAGAAAATTGGGAAGATTGTCAAGCTGCTGAAGAGCCAAAGCTTTGAGATATATCTTTTGAGCTTCTCGGATCGCATGAAGAAAATTGGAAAGGTTGTCAAAATGCTGAAGAACAAAAAATAAGAGATATATATTTTGATCTTCTTGGAGCGCATGAAGAAAATTGGAGAGATTGTCAAGATATTGAAGAGCAAAAGCTTTGAGATATATACTTTGAGCTTCTCGGGGCACATGAAGAAAAAAGGATAGGTTGTCAAAAAATTGCAGAGCAAAAGCTTTGAGATTAAAGAAATTGGGAAAGATTGATAAAGTGCTGAAGACCACAGATTTCGAGATATTCATTTGAGCTTCTCGGGACGCATAAAGAAATTTCGAAAGGTTGTCAAAGTGCTGAAGAGCAAAAAGATTGAGATATATA